ATATATGCACCCCCATGTTCATAGCAGCACAATTCACCATAGCTAAGATTTAGAAACAGCCTAAGTGCCCATCAGCAGATGAGTGAATTAGAAAACTGTGGTACACCTACACAATGGAATACTATGCTGCGGTAAAAAAGAAGGAACTCTTGCCTTTTGCAACAGCATGGATGGAACTGGAGAGCATTATGCTAAGTGAAATAAGCCAGTCAGAGAAAGATAAATACCACATGATCTCACTCATTTGTGGATTATAGAGAACAACATAGACTGATAAACAGGGACAAATCCAAAGACAGAGAAATAGCAATCAGACTATCACTCCCCAGAGGGAAAGAAGGAGAGGTAGGGGGCAAGGGGAAGAGATCAACCAAAGGACTTGTATGCATGCATATAAGCCAAACCAATGGACATGGACAACAGGGGGATGAGAACACGAGTGGGGGAGGGGTTAATGGGGGGGGGATAAGGACACATTTGTAATACCTTTAACCAATAAAGAATTAAAAAAAAAAAGATTTCTCAGGTTTTCAGTCTCCCTCTAGTTGCCAACTATTGAAGAAAGTAGCAATGAGGACTGGCAAAGAAGACATTTAATTTCTATATTTGCATTCTCTGTGTGAGAAAGCAGAATACAAATGGGAAGTATGGATAGAATTGAGACATCAATTTAAAAACGCACAAATAAACAATATCCATTAGCTGTACCTTTTCTGAGGAAACACAAAGAGGCTAATTTCCTGAAAAGTAAAATACTATTTAAAATAAAAAAGGAGTAATATTGAAGAAATTAGGATATTTGGGGAATTGTTTAATGGTCAATATTTTAGGATCCCAAATAATAAAAATTCTTGGGCATTATGTCAATGGTCTGTGACACATTCTGTAACATTTCTACAGCCAGGAGACTAAAATTTCCTACACAGGAAATCAGGTCAGACTGAACTTCTTCTTTGAAATAGTGAATTGTTCCTTGTCTTCCAAAAAGTAGTAGAACATTTTGCTGTTTTTCCTTAGATGTAATTGGAATATCTTGCTCTTCTTCTTTGGCTAAAATCTTGGCATTTTGCTCTTCTTATTCATGTGAAGTTGGCACATTCTGCTCTTCGTTCTTATCTGTTGTGCTGAAAGTTAAGAACCGCAAAAATTAGCAAGCCTAATAAAAAAATAAAACGGGTCAACGAGAGTAGTAGCAGGTACTTGTTCTCTTTCCTGATTTTAATCCTTTTTCTCCAAGGGGGTGGGCCACTATCAATACTACCTCCATGACCTCTTTCCAGGCAGAAGGGAGGGGCCCACTCCGAGCTGCAATGGCAGTGCTGCCTGTTGTTGCAGACTCCTTTCAGATTGCAGGTCTCAGGTGAGCAATCAGTTACCAGAAATGGGCTATGGACACACTTCCTTTGGATGCAGACATGTTCTGCCCCACACTCTGTCCCATCTCTCACATCACCAATGTCAGGTTCTGTCATCCCGAAGTGATAGTCGGTACCCCAGCAGGTGGCGCCATTGAACTGAGTCCAATGCACAGTAGAATGATCTCTCAGAAGGGGAAGTTTTGTCACATTATCACACTGAACCCTCCCGCACAAGGTATCTGAGATGTCACATTTTACGTATGTAGAGTTCATTAGTCCACAGTTCCCAAAACGGTCACCGCGGGTGTTTATTTCTGTGTAGCAACGCTGACTTGCACTCTTGGCCTCTTTGCCAAAAATGTTCCTACACTGCTCTTCACGGTCATTGCATCTCTTTTCATAGCAGTAGCCATCGTCCTTGCATGGCATCCCATTCTGCAAGTACACATCCTCTGGACAATGGTAGGAAGTCCCATTGCACCACTCTGGGAGATCACACTCATTTTCCTTTTTTCTACAAACTTTTCCTCTTCGAACGATCTGGCAGCGTTTGCAACAACGCCCAGAAGCACAAGTAGCCCCAGGGCTGAGAGTGCAGTCTGACTCACAGCACGGATCTTTCATACACAAATGAAAAGCGCCACAGTCACACTCTTCTCCTTCTTCAACCACACTGTTCCCACACCATGTAAGTGTGAAGACGTCCCCTGTATTTGATGAAATGTACATACAATTTTTTGTAGCAAGGGTGTCCATGAAGCTAGCATAGCTGCAGTTGCTGAATGTAGTTCCACGTGATTTTACTGGAACCATGAGGCAGTTTGTATGTCCACATGTACAAGGTGGTACATCATGATGCATACCAAAATTATGACCATCTCATGTGCCACAGTGTATGCAAAGAATGTAAGTATCATCCATAAAAGTTTCCACTCCACATTAAATCATAGTCACATACTGT